CCTCCCAACAAGCGCTAAGTTTAACGTCTTCAGCCAGACGACAATGCTCATTAGGGAACTCTAAATAATGATTTTGATGATCTTCTCATCTTTTTAATTTTCACTTTCTCCCAGTAAGGACTCAATCCAAAAGAGAGCATCATGTTCTCTTCATGTTCACCAAGTTTGGCATTACTATCCCTCTCAAATTGAATGACAAAGACTTCAACATCCTCATCATATGGAATGACAAATTCAATTTTTAAACATTCAGTGAGAATAACTGTGGGGGATTTAACTTCAAAGATGACATCCTTTTCTTCTTCATGTTCTTCGACAACGATAGAATTTTCTGGCGCACTATCTAATGGCAAAAGGCATGGAGGAATGTAATTGAGCTCTTCTTGCGATATAGGAGGTAAACTTGAGAAAGGACAATTCCCCGGTGTGTGTGACAACATCAAACCACATTCATCACAGCCAATGCCTCTTTTCTCGAGTTCTCTTCTACGACGCTTTGACTCCAACTCGACCTTTTTAAGTTCTTCCAACTGATAGTTCAAACACTGCTCATACCACTTTTTATCTTCTTCCGAGTATTTGGGATCTTGGCGCCAGTCATAGTCTACCGCATCCTCATCCATCATGAAAAAAGAAAAAAAAAATGTTAAAAAGAATACAACAAATATCTAAATTAAAACCAACACTATCTATCATAATATTGATACATATAATTATATTGGTCCCCGACAACGGTACCAAAAACTTGTTCGCCTATATTTTTAAAGCTCAACCGCAAGTGTACGGCTTCGCTCGTAGTATGTGGCAAGCAAGGTCGTATCCCAAGAGACTAAATAATTAATATATCAAGTACCAGATTATGATAATGTCAACTTTATTTAGACGACCAAATATGAGATTAATTAACTAAACTAAGAAAATATAATTAAAGAGAAATAAAGCAACAAGAAGAAACTAGCTAGAAAAACACGTAAGAAGATGTATGAGAACGATAGATTCTAAGACTTTGGTTTCAATTAATAGTTGGGTTCCTTCAGAAATATCACAACCAATGTTTTCTTTATCTTCCCTATAAGATGATCACAAATTTAGCTTATCGTCCCTCTCAAGATCGATAAAACCGTAGATTAAATCACATATATTAGCATCTCCACTCAACACATGCAATTCAACTCCAAATAGATTAAAAGATCTAATATCCTCACAACGACCTACTAATCTCTCGATTCAAGCAAGTACATTGTGTCAAATATTAAAGACCTAACATTGAACTCATCTCTCGAATTATGAACAATATTGTCAAACATGTAAAAACATTGGCCACTTGCTAAACATGAAATAAGAACAAAATATTTGAATAGGGTTCAAAAGAAAACAATCAATTATAATAAATCATCCAAAATCCCAACATATTAATCTACTACCAAGTCTTAGAATCAAATAAACTAGCCAGTCATGTTCGAATTCAAATACATAGACATATTAGAAATCAACATGATCAATAAAGTTCAAAGGAAAGAAGAAATAAAAACTAAGAATCTCTTCGATCTTTCAATCTTCTTGATTCCTTTGTAGTTGATCTTCTTTTGCTTCCTAATTGCTTCCCTTGTATGTTCTAGGGCTCCTCCAATGTGTATCTCACGTTCTTCTCCTCAAAATAGGGTGAATATGCCTTTTATAATGTCCAAAACCCTTCTCCTTTTCAAAATAGGCACAAAATAAAAACCAGCCTGCACGCGCGACACGGCCATTCTGCCCGTGTCACGGTCCGTGAAGTAGCCCGTGTCAGCTCCCAGGTTACAAATTGTCTCTGTTGAGGTAACACGGCCTCTGACACGGGCATGGTGCCCGTGTCACAAATATGCACTCTTATTTTTGCTCGTTTCACTCGTTTCTTCCATTTTTTTCATCCATGCATCAATCTTTCATCATCCCATGGGGTTTTAGGTACTCACCATGCGTCTCCAATAGCCACAAGCTCTACAAATATGTGAAAATATCTACAAAACAAACACGTGTAATACTTTTCCACAAGATATAGAATTATAGCACAATAATGTAATTTATACACCAATAATGCAATGAATAAGCTCTAGATACTATATAAACATGGTGTAAAATCACACATGAACAATCCTGAATGAATCTGAAGGTTTCGATTTTGGATCTGCCTAAGCCTAATGGGAGACCTAGGTATCTGGTAGATTGATGAGGATAAATCCCTGCCAAGATTTGGCAAATGCTTCTCTAGGTTGAGAAATGGGTATTTGTAGTAAAGAAAACAATGGTTTCTCTAAGTTCACTTTTTGGCCTGTGATGTGATTGTATTGATTGAGAATATCCATGATCAGCAGAGCATGTGACACATTGGATTTAGCAAAAATAAGAGTATCATCATCAAAAAATAGGTGAGTAAGAGAAGGACTGTGTTTGGAAACTTTGACTCCCTGAAAAAAAAAATAAAAAAAATTGCACCTCTTTTTTTATGAGAAAAGTAAGAATTTCAGATATCAGGATAAAGATGAAGGGGGATAGAGGATCCTCCTGTCTAATACCTTTAGATGGTTGCACAAAGCCATCTACCCTACCATTAATGTTAAAGGAGAAGGTGGGAGAAGAAATACAAGCAATGATTCATCTGACAAAACGAGTTGTGAAAACCAAGTTTTAGCATAATCAATCTAATGAACTCCCATTCTACTATGTCAAACGCCTTAGCCATATCAAGCTTAATGGCCATGCAACAGTTCCTGCCACTGTTATGTTTGTTCAATAAATGCATAACTTCATGAGCCACAATAGTATTATAAAAAATTTGTCCATTAGGGACAAAAACAACTTGATTATCATTATACAAGAAGAGAGGCAAGGCTTGAGCCTATTTGCAAAAAATTTTTGAGATAATTTTGTAAGAAACACTGCAAAGGCTTATAGGTCTGAAATGGCTCACAGTGGAAGGGTTAATGACTTATGGAATTAAGGTGACCAGTGAGTGATTAATATTTTTTAAGATTTTCCCTTACTCAAAAAAATTGGAGACCATTTTATAGATATCAGGATAAAAGAAGTCCCAAAAGTGTTTGAAAAAAGATAGAGGCCAGTCATACCATCTGGGCCTCATGCTTTGAGGGTGTTGATGCTGAACAGAGCTCCCTTTATCTCCTCAATTCCCACAGGCCCTGTCAAGTCTTTGTTTTGGTCCTCTGTTATGGCTGGAGTGACATCTTGAAGAGCCTCATTTCATAAACTAGACCCATTAGAACTGAAGAGACTCTTGAAGTACACTTATATAGAGGTTGTTATTTCTACTTGAGTTTCACTGATTGAGTTATCTTCATTTTCCAGTCTGAGGATTGAGTTGACTTTCCTTCATTGTAAAATGCATGCATGAAAATATCTGGCATTTTTGTCTCCTCTTTTTAACTAGTCCAATTTTGCTTTATGCTTCCAGAATTGCTCTTCTTCTTTATAGTTCTCATTAAGCTGTCTGGTTAGTGAGTCCCAAAGGTTCCAGTATCCTAATCCTCCTTGATAATGGATCTCATTTAACTTTTTATTCAAAAGCTCAATTTTCACAGCCCTGGCTGATATGAACCCTTTGCTCCACTTGATAATTTCCAATCTGATTGCCTTGATTTTGGAGCAGAATTGGTACATTGGTGTTCCATATTGTTTTGTTGACTAAGCTCTTTTCACCACTTTTTGGAATCCTTCTTTCTCTACCCATATGCTGTCAAACTTGAACCATTTTTTCTCAGAGCATGTGCTTTCGGGAGTAAGGTTGAGCATGAGCAGTCCATGATCTGAGGAGCTTATGAATATGTTTGATACTGAAGCAGTAGGGTAGCTTGCAAGGAAGTTCAAGGATCCAAAGATCCTGTCTAGCTTCTCCTAAACATAACCTTCTCCATCCCTTCTATTACCCCCAAGTGAAGTTGTAGCCCCTTTTAGCAAACTCTGACATCTCCATTTTGGCATGAAATCTATGAAAGTTGAAAGGGATGAGTCAGATCTTCTCCTTCCACCCTTTTTATCCTCATGACAGGTTAGATCACTCAAATCTCTCCTTAAAAACCAGTTAACTCACCAATTAACTTTCTCTTGAACTAGTCAGTCCATTTGATCTGATCTGAGTTTGCTATCAGTACTAATATATACAAAGATACCCCAACAAAGAATTGCTTTAAAAGGTTCCCATAACTGGACTTGAATAGAAAAGTTATTTTTTAACACACTGGTAACCTGAATTGATTTATCCCAACACAAGAATAAACCCCCACTTTTTCCAACTGGCTCAACAACAGACTAATTATCTCCTAGACCCAAATTTCTCCAAACTATATGGACAAATTAACTTCTTCTTTTTTTTTTCAAAAATAAAGAATATACCTGGGTGGTGGAGACTTGAGATCTCCTTCAGCTGGGAAACTGGGCCCACCCAGCCCTCTACAGTTCCACACCACAACTCTCATTTGGACTGGTGGGGCCATTTTATGTTGGCCTCCAAAACATTTGAGTCTCCAAGTTTGGTTTTCTTATTACGTTGGGTTTCTCCTCTGATTTGACCTTGGATAGGCATTTCAGTAGATTCTGATAATCAAGGATATAATTTTTAAGTGAATTTTGAGCTGATAGTTTATGACTTATGGCTGAAAAGTTAGCTTATATGATAAAAACGTTTGATAAAATTAGTTGATAAACTAGCTGAAATAAAAACTTTAATTGACTTATTTAAAAAGCTAACCAATTTAAAAAACTACTCAAGAAGCTTATGAAATAAGTTCGAATTTTTTAAATAAATTTGTCCTACTAAATTGAACTTATTTGAATATAGAAAGTTTATAAGCTATGCTTGTGAAACGCAGCCCCATTTTGTGAAATGCGACCGGCAATTTTGTAGTATATATCTAACCTCGGCCCTTATTTCTTATTCGCTTTTACTATATTAAGCACCCCACTTTATATGCTCCGAAAGTTGATCTCACTCATCTTCAAGAAATCCTACCCACAGGATTAGTTCTTTCTTTCTGTTGGTGTACCTCTTCAACGTTTGAATCTTTATTGTTTTTTTTTTTTTTTTNTACGCATATTGCTTTTCATAGGACAAAGGGAAGTGTTCTTTTAGTTTTAGGCTGGTATTTTATTCTCCTAGGGAAGTAAGAAAAAGGGCTTGCTGTCTTTTCAGTAAAAATCCAATCTTTTTGCAGATAGTAAAATGGAAGACCGCAAGGAGGTAAAGTTTTAATTTTTCTTATTTTTTGTTAAAAAAATTATTTGTTTTTCATCCTTGAGCTTCTTAATTGTAGTGTGCATGTGGATTCACTTTTATCTGTTAATTGAAAGTTGTTAGTGTAGCCCAAATTTTCCTTAGTTTTTTCTCCCGTTCCACTTATCACATATGTTCTGAAATAAAGGAACAATCTTTTAAGGAAAAATGTAAAAATTGTAAGCTTTGTCTGTGTTAGTTCTTGCTGGGATGCTTTGTAATCTCCTTGTTTCTCTTTCAACGACTATGTCATGTGAGTAATTGTTCTTATGGATAATGGTTACATGGGCCAGGAAAGAAGAAAAGAAAACAAAACAAAAAAAAAAAACATTACCATTTGAGAAGTCAATTTTTTGCCTTGTGACATGCAGAGGTCAATTGACAGATAACAGACATGATAATGATATACATCAAACTTCAAACTATATATTATGAGTTTGAATATTTAAAGCAGAAATTATTGCCATTTTTTCAAACTTCAAACAGTTATGTGTTAATGGGTGCTGCTTATTTCCCTACTTATTAATTATTCTTTTTACCCAAAGCTTGAATATTCAAAGAAGACATGTTTTTCTATTGCAAATGACAATTATTTTTAATTGGGGATGATCACCAACTCTGTTGCTTGAGGTTTACTTTGGTTATAAAAATTAAAGAAAGAGTGGCTTGTATTTATCCCCCAAGTGTTATATATACCTTCAGTAGTGGTTGAGAAAGGAGTCCATGCTGAAGCTAATAATGAAAAAATGTGAAAAAAAAAAGGAACAATAACTTGGGCTCATGTATTTTTAGTTTTTTACCATAAATTATTTCGCGCTGTTTAGAAAATTGCACCATGGTTATCTGTGCCACAATTTGGCGACTGGGACCAAAAGGGAGAGCTGCCCGATTACTCCATGGATTTTTCCAAAATCCGAGAGATGAGAAAACAGAACAAAAGGGACCCGTCTAGAGCGAGTCTTGGAAATGAAGAGGAGCTCATCAAATCAAAAACAAGCAGCTCAAACACAGTTCATAATAATGACCTTCAAGACCATCGTCCAAATGGTTCGCAAACGGTATGTTTATTTTTTTTTTCTTTTTTTTATACATTAATGTGGAAGAGTAGATATCCTTAGTTGTTAATACATTAAAGAAACCAATGGGCCATTGAACAAGTTGATTTGGTTGGTTGGGACAATGAGGATGGTGAGATCTGGTATAGTTGGCAAGCATCAGTTTTCAGGTTTATTACATGTGTGATTACAAATAGTCTGATAATTTAAACCAAAAAACAAGAAAGAAAAATCGATATCCGGTTAGCACTCTTTAAGTTCCATTGACATGTGTTTATGTTTCTTTAATACATTTTTTNTGAGAAGGTACTTTTTAGGTATATAAAACTATAAGCTGTTGTTGTAATAAGTTAAGAGAGGATATAAGTAAACTTTCTTCTTCTAGTTTTTGTTATGTTAAATTTCTCTTCGTCTTTTATTCTCTGCAAATGGCCTAAAGCTGAGGTATTTTCTGTAATTATCTCGATGCTATTAAATTCAATCGTGGGGCATCACCTAAATTTCTTTCATGTAGCCAACAACTTTGGAAAGCATGCTGTTAATCCAAATATAAATTCCAATTGCTGAAGGATAAGGTCCATATATATATGGTTGATTAAATCTTGGTGGTCCTTGGATAAGACTTAAGAGCTTTTAGCACATGGAATAGTTTTGTCTGTTCAGTAACATTAATCATATGTATCAATGTTCTATTTAACAACAACATTCTATATAATAAGGTCCTTTTGCCTTTTTTCGTTTTTTCATTTTTTTTTAATCTCATTAACAGGCGAGGCGCGGCATCTTTAGCTATTTCAACTGCTTTTCAGCTCTTTCAACTGGTTTAAAAGCTTGAATGTTTGATTAAACAAATTTTGATACACTTTGTATTTTCTAAAGTTTGATGTATGGACCGGTCTTCTTATATATGGTTGATGTTGCTGTTAACATTCAGTGTGTTGAACATGATTTTACCTTGTAAGTTACTGCTATTTCTTGCACAATGTACAAATCCAGTCAAGAACTGTTTTCTTTTTCTCTTATTTTTATTAGATTGGTAATTCCAATGAGTATTGTATTATTCCAACAAAAAAAGGAAAAAGAAAAATTGGGAGGCATTGTTGAAGCTAAGTTCTATCAGAAAGGAATATTGGAGCAAATTACTTATTGCATGGATGTTATTGAGTCTTTTTTATGTCAGATTGTCTTCAAGAATCAACTTTATGTTGCAGGGAGGCTTGAAAATTTTGTGGTATTGTGACAAGGATGGAAAAATGGTAAATGAAACTAATTGTTGTGTAGAGATTTTTCAAAATTTGAAATAATATTATTAGTTTTGTTATTTCTTATTTTTGTATTTTATGTGAAAATATGTATTTTTTGTCTTTTTATTTTATGTTTTAAATTTATTTGTTTTTTCAAACACCACGTAAAGTACACGTGTGTCAGACTAGTAATATATTTTTCCAATAAATAGGAAAAGAAAAGAAATTTAAAAAAAGAAAAAGAAAAAAGAAAAGAAAGAGAAAATTGAGATAATGCTTCCCATGAATATTATACTCCCAAGTAGGCTGCAAACGAACTGAGCAGCTCGCGAGCGCTCGAGTCAAAACTCGGCTCGAGCTCGTATTTGACCGAATTCGAGCGACTCGAGCATTTTATCTAGTCGATCTCGAGTATAGGTTTTGGAAGGTTGAGCCGTTCGCGATATGTAGTGAATTACTAAAATATCCATCATATGAATATTACAATATTTTATATATGTGCTTAATGATAATTTTACTTGAAATTTGAGTCGAACTCGAGTCGAGTTCAAGCAGACTTTCGAGCATTTTGCTTTCAATCGATCTCGAGCAATTGTCTTCTTTTGTCGAGTCGATCTCGAGCGTTATAATCGAGCTCGGGCAGGTGAAAAAAATTAATCTTGCTCGATAAGGCCAATAGTCGACTCAACTCGGCTCGTATGCAGCCCTAATCCCAATTAATAAAAAATGAAAAGAATGAGAAATGCATTCTAAAGAAAAAGAAAATCAACGAGTAGTAAAGAAGAAGAAAGATAAATTTTGAAATATTGTACTGTTCCAACTAGAAATTAATTATAAATTATTATCAAATAACTTATCAATTTCTAGGTACTTTTTAAACTACATCTATCAAACATACTCAACCCTACATATCACTATTAAACATTAATCCATTTTCATTTAGTATAAGGGGCAAATTCTTGAATAGCTCTCCTTCATGTTCAATCCCCTCCAATGTTTGGATTTAATCAAAGCCACTCCCACCTTTACAAAAGCACCAATGCACCATCCTATAAATCCAGGATAGGAAAATTCCACTTTATTTTTGGTAACTTCCAATATATTACCCCAAAAAAATTGCATTTCTATAAATTTCTGTCAACCATATAAAAAATATCATACAGACAATATCATTCATGCAGGCTACATATAAGTTGGTCCTCCATACAGAACAAAATTCCTCCAGTTATTATTATTTTGGTGTATATGTATGTGTGTGCTTATAATGCTCTTAAAAGGAACAATATTAGCTTAGAAAATTGCACTAGCATAGTATTTTTCATGCTCATAATATCTTTTTCAACCAAAACAACAACTGAGTGAGATGCAACAAAGGGCTTGGTATTGATCATATAAGTTGCCGATGGCAGGACTTTACTAATAATTTATTCAATCACAATTTACATTCACATTCATCCACCTCATATCCACATCATCATTCCACTAAACATCTTTCTATTTAAACATTCACTCATATTTTTATTCATTCATTTAAATACATATATGTGAGACACATTATCCACTCATTCAATATAAAATTTAATACTCTATTCTTAATGAAAATAAAAATTAATATTTTTAAGTTAAAATAATAAATTTTAAATGCGTTAAAATAAAAGAACACTACAGCCAAAATAACTTAAATTAAAGTTACAAAGAAAAAAAAATAGTTGTTTTTAGTCGATGGCAAAATGAGTCCAAATATGTTCAACTAAGTCGACACGAAGTTGATGATGCATTGAATTTAAAATCTAAATTTATCAATATTGACAAGTGTGATATATATCACACTTTTCAATATTGATATAGATAAAAATTGAATTAAATATAATAAAAAAATCCTTTGAATATTAATTGATTCAAAACAAAACAAAAAAAAAAGGTTGAACAGCCGTTCAACTTAATGAACGGCAAATGGGGCCCGCTGTTTAATGGATGCATTGCATCCATGTTAAACGGGCCCTTCCGGTTTAAACGCCCAAAAAATAGGTGCAATGCGGGTGCCCTTAGGATGCGTGTGGATATGAATCATAATCGATTTTATTCGGTTTTGACTGATTAAGTTATTTTATTTTCAATCACCACACTTAAAATCCAACTCAACCCAACTCTCTAACTTTTATAAATTTAATTAAATAATATTAATCAATCATCTTCGCATATCACATCGAGTGTAATGCACTCTTCATCCACTCACATAATTTTAACTACATATAACTTTCAATAATCTCATACTTTTTACATCACATCAACTTTCATCATTACATTTTAAGTATCATTTAATACAAACTTAAAATCGTCCAATCAAATCTTTATTCAAATAACATACTTTAACCAACCAAATTGAATCATGACTAGTTGAATTCATATCCAACCACGACCTTAGAGTGATATATTAACGTTCTAGACGCAATCAAAGGGTCCAACTTTAGTCAAACACGCGGTGACATTATTGTAAATAAGTAGACTTTTGATTTTTCATGCATGGGTACTTTAGTCATTGCGCAAAATGAACTGTTCCGCTAAGCTGCAATATGGCGGGCACTAATGTACAATGTGTCTATTAATAAAGTGCAATCTGTAGAGCAGTTATTTTTTAAAAGTGCATATCAAAACGTTATATTGTTCAATGCACTCTATATTAATGTGCAATTATTAAAGTTTTATTAAATTACAGATTTGACCCATGAACTATATTGTAATATATTACAAACTTGTAAAAGTGCAAATAAGTCCCTGGGACATGTCAAATTTTCAAAAATCACCCAGCCTCAAATCAAATTTTCTCGAGCAAGTTTTCTGACATCAACCGTCCATGAGTTGCCGGCGGGTCCAGCCGGACTAGGAGATGAAACAGTTATCCCGTAGTTGAGAAATGCTCGCGCTTTCGGTTGCAGATGCGATTTTTTATGGCATTCTTGCTTTCGGTGGAAGAGAATGACGAAGATCTAGGTCAATTATATCGAGCCTGGAGAGGCCAAGTGATGGGTTACGGTTCTGCGACAGGTTCAGTTTCGGTTGGAAATGCCTTGAAGTGTACATAACACGTGGGTATTATTGCTTAAATCTAGGTAAGTCATCTCCCAACAATTTTATTTTCTATAGCATTTATTCTCAATTTATTATGCTACAATTTGTTAATGAAACAAGCTTTAAACAAGCTCGAGTTCGACTGTCTTATCAAACGAGCCGAACCAAACTCGAGTCTTGACGAGTTGAGACGAGCCCGACTCATTAATGAAATGAGCTTTAAAGCAAGTTTGAGTTCGACTCGTTTATCAAATGAACCGAACCAAACTCAAGTCTTAGCGAGCTGAGCTGAACCGAACTTACGAATGAATCGTTTCGTTGAATAATAGTAGTCTGTACATTTGATTGGTTTAATTTGGTTTGGTTATACTTAGATAAAAATGGAGTAGTACAACAAGTACATGTCCTTGGTGAAATAATGGAGAGAGAAGGATATTGTTGACAGGCAAACTAAACGTGGCATCTGCACTTCCCTCAGAATTCACCTAATTTTGATAGGGAAGGAAAATAAGTTTAGTACTTTTATTTATTAATAAAAGTTAACTAGTACAACACTCGTGTATTACACGGTGTTTGTTAAAAATTTATTCTTAAATTTTAAAATTAATAAGAAAAATTATTTTAAATTTTATTTACTTTTTTTACAAGAAAAATATATTATTATATATTTTAAAATGACACGTGTTACTTGTGCGACTTACATGTGTTATATATAGTAATTTTTATAACTATATCATATAACTACTTGAAATATAAATATATTAATTGATATTTTATTCTAATTAATAATAAAAATAATTTTATTATTGTTATAAAGATAAATATAATTTATTTTTTTTATACATACAATATGGATGTTAAATCGAAGCTCATCAAGAAATGATTAATTTGATATATTGTATATGTAAAACTGATAAAAAATACAAAAGTTATTCACTTTTAAAATAAATTTACAATGATAAATTAAAATATATTCAAGCCTAATAACAAAGTATGTAATTTTGGCACATAGTCACTTAAGCTCGGCACGTTCTAAATTAATATATGTTGATCACATAGAAAAATCGCATTCAGTTAAACTTTCACAGTTCAATAAAAATTCAAATTATCCCTTCCCGTGCGATTTTATTATGGAGTTTATATGCTGATCTAAAATCAATCTAAATATTGTACGACTAATTTTAAGAATTACTTACCCACACATGTAAATCATTGAATAACTTTATAACAAATTCTATTTTACTTTTATAGAAACATTCCTCTACTCTAGTCCCATTAAAAATAAAATAAAAAAAGTTCTAACAAATTTAAATCATTGGCTGATTTAGATTGTCATTGGATTTAAGATATTTTCAAAATTTTATTTTGTAAAAAAAAATAGAGATAAAAAATAAAAATTTATTATTTAAAAAAGTGAAATAAATTTAAAATTATAAATGAACTACAATAAGAATATAGCTGTTAAATTTAATTTAATATAACAATAATAAAATATTGATTATGAGAAATATGCATAGTTTTAAAACTAGAACAGGTAACTGACCTGGGCTGGACTCCGGGTCACCGGTCCAATCACCGAGTCACCAGTCAATTGTTGAATCGGGTAATTAATTTTATAAAAATATTAAATTAGATTTATATTAGTTTTACCCATAATTTTAAAACACGGATGGTAATTGGCCCAAGCTGGACTCTAGGTCATCGGTCCAACTATCTAGTCACCGGATTGCTGAACTGGAAAATTAATTTTATAAAATTTTAAACTATATTTATATTATTTTTACTTTATACAATACATAAAATAATAATAAAATATTTTATATGTAAATTTTATACTCTAAAGTCTTAATAATATTGTTTTTTATCGTAAATATTTATTATATAAATATATACACATAATTTTATTTTGAAAATAAAAAGTAAAAAAAAAAACAAGTAATATCCGTGTGGACTGGGTCAAGGCCGAGTCAACTGAGTTTTGATAAGGTCTCTTGTTATTCAGTCCAAACAGCCTACACCAATCCAGGTTCCGAGTTGACCCGTGGTGCTGGTCTTGGTCTCAAAAACACTGGAAATGTGCGAGTGTTTGTGGTACGTTTTTAATAATATCTATATTTATATATTAAATAGGTGGATTGATTCGACCCTAATATGGTCATTACCAGGTGAAACAAAATTGCCGTTTTTGCCATTCTTCCCTAACCTCAGACAAAGACTAAATCTCACGCTTGGCCATCATTTTGTTTTGTGTTATTTTCCGAGCTACAGTAACAAAAAGCACCTTCTTACCAAACCCCAACCCCAAAATTCATAGGGTCCATCGCCAAGGTAAAAAGCACAGCTGTGTCTGAACTGGTGTGGATTTTTAAAATGGCCACCTACCGCAATCTCCACATCATCAACTACCACTCGGATTAGGAATTTCTGGTGAGCGAAGGCTCTCTGTTTACTTAACTTTCTTTCAAATCTCTTGTTACGTGGATAATTAATTAATTATCATCACTTAATCGGATTTTGTTGAGACCCTTTTATTTATATTCCTTCAATTTGGATGGGTTGAGTTGAATTTGTCCCCCCATTTTTTATATTGGTTGTTTTTTCATCTGGGTTTGTTGGGCTGACCTTGGAATCCTGTCCTTCGGTGCATTTGCTTTGTGAGGTGTGAAATTATAGCATTTTTTATTAATGGAAATAGAATAATATACAAATGATTGTCATTGTTTTTAAATCAAGTTAAAGTCTTGATTTTTATTTATGCTCTTTGCAGAATGTGCGAAATTAGACTTTGGTTTCTGTTAATTTTTGGTTACCTAGTATTGACTTTCGAGTTTTGATTTTATTGGGGGTGTAGAGAGATTCTCTTGGGAAGAAAAGATAGTGATACAATATGGAGACAGGAGTTTCTTCTATGGGCTTGCAATTAGGCACATGGATAAACCCGGAAAATATTGCAAGAAAACCAAACAATTCTTTGCATTTTTTTCAGAAGTATGGGGAGCGATCGATGTACCAGGTACCTGCTAGTTGTCATCTTCTAGCCACAAGTTTCAGTTTTCGTGGACCTAAAGTTTTAAGGGTCTCATGTTCCGATAATAGTTCAGGTAAACCCTTGAGTTAGTAGCTCTTTTGATTATATTTACTCTGAACCTTTGTATTTTCTTTTGAATATGTCAACTTTTTGTAATTAGTTTTCTTGAGAATGCTACTCTTATGTTCTTAAATTGATGGTGCTTTCAGAAGAAGTTAATTTTATAATTACCGCAGTCTACCCTGGCTCTGTAATATGTTGGAAATTTGATCTGCATCATTAGTTAGTTATATCGGAACAAATTGAAATGGCAGAGAGAAGAATTCAATTCTTTCTTTTTCTTTACAACAACAACAACATAGCCTTTAGTCCCAAGCAAGTCGGGGTAGGCTAGAGATGAAACCCAGGGGAAACACAAAAAGACTCGAACCAAAAGGAAGAGATCGAAAGAAAGAAAACCAAAAATAATAATAATAATAATAATAAAAATAAAAATAAAAATAAATAAATAAATAAAATAAAATAAAATAAAATAAAATAAACGGAAGAGAGAGAGAGAGAGAGAGAGAGAGAGAGGAGCAAAAGTCACGGTTCTGGCACGTTGATAGCGAGCCTCCAAGCGCTCCTATCCACCGCTAAATCCTTGGATATATTCCAATCTTCCAATTCTTTCTTTTTCTTTATTTCTTTTTTTTTTCAATCATTTTCGAATCCATCACTGCATAAGAGCCTTTTTGGATTAGTTGTTCACAGGTGCAACGACGTGCAATTGTCACAGGTGAGATTAATAAAGATGTCGACTTGTTCATTTATATTATTGTTTAGCATGTTCAAACCATTTCTTAGAACTTATCTACACACGTAGACTTTAAAATTTTGATGCTCATCACTCGGTATTTCAACTCTATGTTTTAATGAAGACTTTGGTGAATTAATTGTAAAGAAGTAATTCATCAGCTATTGATATACTTTTTTTTTTCTTGTTCTCAAGCTTCCTTGCTGGAGGCTGGCAGGTTTCCTGCCTTTTTCGATGAATCAAAGATAATAAAGGTAAGTTCTTATGACGTTTTTTCTTCCTTTAAGCAATGCCTACAGTGAAAGTTCAACTTTTCGTAGTTTCCAAGGAGGTGCATTGTCTTTGTATATCTATTGGTCGGTGTACTAAAAAATTTGGGCCATCCAAAGTGTAACTGCAAAGTAAGCTTTTGATTTGACTCGTCACTCGTACGTGAATGCTGTTGCAGAATAAATCGGAAGAGGTTGAACCATATTTGCATGGTAGATGTATTTATCTTGTTGGTGGGTACTCGTGTGAGCTGTCTTGAATCAACTTAACGGTTGCCTATTGGTGTTCGGATTTTTTAAACTCTTTTTTCTTGCCTTTTGTCCTTGTAATTTACAGGCATGATGGGATCGGGAAAAACAACTATTGGCAAGGTTCTGGCAGAAGCCATTGGATATTCATTTTGTGACTGGTTAGCCCCAAATATTAACATTTTTTAATTGCAAGTGAGGAATAAAGGCTAATAAGTTGCAATTTTAGTCTTGTAACTATTGGATTGCCAGATTTAGTCCTTCAACTCTTGCAACTTTCACTGTCGTTGGACTTTTGGCATTTGAAGGAATATTGTGAATAAATCATATGTTAAAAACTAATATTTTTGTCGGAAGTGAACGAACTGAAAACATATAGGACTGGAATGCAAGAAATGAAATTTTAGAGGACCGGTAATTTCAGAAACTTAAAACTTAGGTGGACAAAAAGTGTTACCCCACATACTTACTGGGCCAGAATTGTTTTGATACCATCCAAAAAAATTGAAATTGCACACTTCACTAGAACTGCTTGTCCTTATACATCATGTTACTTTTGGATATTTCAGTGACAAAATGATAGAGGAGGCTGTTGGTGGAAGAACAGTGGCTGAAATCTTCAAGTCATATGGCGAGAAATTTTTCAGAGATAACGAGGTTAGTCAATGTCTAAGCATTTGTTACCTGTCGAGTGGATAATATCCGGCCTACCAGAAAATACAGGATCTCTCACTCTCTCCCTCTCTCTCTCACTCGCTTTCTCTCTCTCTTTCTCTCTCTCTCTCTCTCTCTCTCTCAACTCTTGAACATTCATCTGTTATCCTTTGGAACAATCAATGTTTTGTTCTGCTGATGTTGTGAGTATGGTAAACACCGAAAGATACGTCAATATGATTATATCTTTTAATTCACTTGCCGTAAACACTTGAATCCTTTTAATTTGTTTTATCATTTGAGTGTTTTGCTGCACTTTTCAAAGGATGCATGCGAAAAATGTCATACCCAGATACTATCTATGGATTATAAGATAGGGCGACAAGTGGATACTTTCTAAAACAAAATGCTTATGCCGATTATACTTTTAACTTCTTGTTAGTATAATCCATTGGTCACTCATATTGTTGCTGAGGTTCTTAAAAAAAAATGGCCCAAAATTTAGAAACTATTCGCAAAGGTTTGTTCTGTACTGGAATGCTTATTTACCGAAATCATTTGTAATATGTTGTGGATCCTTAACTGGTTTAGCTCTAAGTTATTCTTAATAGGAGTTTTTCTGCTTTTCGCTTTTATGTTAAACGAAATTATTTAATTTATCCTTCTATTAGTAGAACCAAACTTTTCTTGCAAATTCTGTTTCAAGTATCTACTTGTCAAACCTGTTGCGTTTATCTTCATAAATCCAAACTTTTCCTCTCTTGCCTATTGTATTAGCTTTTTGCAGGATAAAAATAAAAAATAAAAAAAATTCTTTTGTCTCAACTGGTTGATTCTTTTGACTTATTAGGAGACATATGCAAAAGGGTGTCACTGTTTGGTTGGACGTGCCTTTGGAAGCCTTAGCACAAAGAATCACAACTGTTGGAACTCATTCTCGGCCCCTTTTGCATCATGAATCCGGAGATCCTTATTCTAAGGTAGGTTTTCAATATGCATTAAGTAAAAAAAATAAACGTTTATTTCATTATAACAAAAATTATTCCTGATAGTAATTGCGAAAAGTTAATCCAAGCTTTCCTAGAAAAACATTTTGAGGCATGATAAATGCTCTTGTTGAAGTTTGTCTGGTATTTATTGTAAACTGAAATCAAATGTTGTGGGAGTCCTTGTAATTGTGGAAGATAATTGGGTTGGTTTTGTGGTTAGATTGAACTTCAGTGTAACAATTGTGAAATTTTTATTAATTATTATTTTTTTTTCTATGATTTGGGGTTTGTCTAGACTATGAAGCGGTTATCTGCTCTTTTTGAAGAGAGGGGTGAAGCTTATGCCAATGCAGATGTTAGAATTTCTCTTCAAAGTATGATTTCAATGCACCTATATTTAACATTAAAATAAATAAAAAAAAAAAAAAAAATCTTCACCATCCTCATTTTGCTTGTGGAAATAAATATTGTGTTTTGTTTTGCAATAGATATTGCGGCCAAACTTGGATATGAGGACGTATGCAATCTCACCCCAACTGCAATTGCAGTTGAGGTTCGTCGCTCTCTTTCTACATTGTTTTCACTGACATTATGAATTCATTTTATTCAATTTGATTTTTAGCCTTTTAATGTTTATGATAAATGCGGCTAAGTTTTCATTTCTATCACACTGGTAGGTACTTGTACAACTCGAGAATTTCTTGAAGAATTAAGGTCAAATATTAACGAGTTCTTTTCGATCTATCGTCGTTGACTGCATGATTGCTATGCTTCGATTTTTCGGCTGTTTTGAGGCGTGGCATGAAATAATTTGAATTTCCTCGATCGAGCTCATGGTTATGTTGTATATACTGTGCTTCTGTTTAGGATAGATAGGTTCCCTGGATATTGTTCCTTCGCCCCTTTTTTTTTGTCTGTTTGTTTGTATTATATACAAGTAAACCAGTGGGAATTGTTCCATATATAATTTATAAATAAGTAAAATATTTTATAATAATATTGTTCATGTTTTATAATGATCAAATGTATAACATGTGAAACACACATTATATAACTTATAATTTTAAATATAATATTTATATTACTTATATTATTTTATTTATATCCATGCAAGTGCACAGAATTCAGCATTAATGGCATGATTGGTAGGAAGGAATGACATGAGAATGAAATGATCAATTCTCTTACAAATTTCTTATCCCATGATTGGTATATTTTTTTGGGAAGGAATGACCATTCTAATGGGAATGGCAAAACCCATCTCCATGGGATTAGCCATTTCATAGTAAAGGGAAGGTTTTCTCATTCTCATGTGTGTATGAATTAATTTTTAAAAAATAAAATTAACAAATAATTATAAAAAATAAATATATAATATATATTATAAATCATAATTAAAATATATTAAATAAAATTAGATTGGTAGGAAGGAATGACATGGGAATTGAATGATCATTCCCTTACTCATTCCCTAAAATTAAAAACTTACTTTTATTTACTGTTTAATTAAATAATAAAATATATATTATTAAAAATATGTTACTTTTTATTTTAAAATATTATTAAAAATATATTAATTTTTATGTATTAAAAATATATTACTTGTAAGAATATATTATTTTTTATATATAATTTAAAATTATATTATTTTATTTTTATATATTATTAAATATATATTATTTTTATATTATTAAACAATATATTATTCTATTTTTATATATTATTAAAAATATATTATTTTATTTTTATACTATTAAAAAAGTATTTATATATAATTTATTAAAAGTACATTATTTTTAAAAAAACCTTTTATTTATGTTTATAATAAAAAATGATAATGTCATGCCATTCTAGTCTTATTCCTTCTGCATACCAAACGTATCAATGACAAAACAAGTTTCATTCCATTCCCATAATCATTCCATTCTTCAATTCATTTCTCAATTCATTTCATTCTTTTGAATTTTCATTCCATCATACCAATCATGCCATAATAGTATAGTAGAGATACATGTGGGTTAATGTTAATTACTAATAATTGATACAAATGTAAATAAAAGGTAACATAATAAAACTTCAGAGAAATAAGGGAAGCAGTATAAACTTCACCTTAAGGTGTTTCTGGAAACTTTTTTTTTCTTTTTTTTCTTCGAAACGACAAGTTCATTAATAAAAGTACACACATGTACAAGCAGTTAACTCAAAATGAACCACCGACACAGTTGAATACAGATTGAAGGACAACACACAGGTAGTTTAGAACTAACAAAACACACAAGACATACTCACACTAATACTACTACTCCCATGAGTGGAGAATACACACTCCCAAAAGATAAATTACACGTTCCTAAAGAGAAAAATATACACCACACCAAATACAAACACTCACAATACTAACATAAAATCTTTTTTTTTCTTAAAAGAAAAAAAAACTACACTGGAACCCTCCTCACCTCAATAGTCTGGCAGCAGCTCTGGGGACTAGAGTGTGTGCTTAGGACAAGTATGACCTACTGAAGTCCTCTAGAAGTTGAGGAGGTTGTACTTTACTTTTTGTTTGTAGTTGTGTGTTGTTTTTTATTTTTTTATGTGTTTTTGTTAAGTCTCGTCTATATCTGTGTTTTAGTCTTCTGTGTTAGGAGTTTGTTGTCTTCTGTTTTGGAAGTATTTTTGGTGTAGTTTCTTCCCTTGGTTGTCTGTGTAAGTTCAAGAGAATTTAGGTCTAGACTTGTCTGATATTAGTTGACACTTCGATTATACTCGGTATTTTGAGTTTTATGTAGTATTATCGTTTGGGAAAAGAAGAAAAGAAAAGATACCCATAGACACATTGATGTGCTTTGTTAAGATGCATTAATTAATAATAACAAAATTGTATAAACAATGCATACGTCGTCTGTCATCATCTCCAGCTGAGCAAACCACATTATCCATATTGATAAGGAATCCAACGGTATCTCCCGATTGTCGTTCTGACCTTCCAATAGTTAGAAAATTTATCAGATTTTCTTCGGCGGGATTAAGAATACAACTGATTTAACATTAGAATGATCCAACTCTTTTTCGGCCTCATGTAAGATGTAAGAAACCTTTTCTTTGGGCCAACTTTTCAATTTATATGCACATCTCGACGTGCAAATGAATCGAATGGCTCATAAACACTTGGCATGAGCTTGTATCAAGCTCGGACACTTTGAATTCAAACTTGAACTTTTGTAGTTTGTTTGCTCAAGTGCTCAACGAGCCGCATAACTATACATAAAATTACATAAACACCCTAACTAGATACTTATTAATAGGAATTTCTAGTTGAACTTTTGCAAAATTCGAGATTGACCTCGAGCATTTGTGTTTTGAGCCGAGTCCTGCAATGCTCGGCTAGTCCAGCTAGAGCAACTGGAAAAAATATCAAGCCTAGCTCGATAAAACCAATATTCAACTCGACTTGACTCATTTGAAGTCAAACGCATTGCCAGAGGAATGGGGAGGATCGGGAACAATTTTGTAAATAAATCCAAGCCCAAAGTGTTAAAAAAATGAAAAAAGTTGGATTAATTGTGTGTATAGACAAAAGTTTTAATTTCATGTGTCTGCAAAAGTTGCCCCCAAAAGAAAATGAACCTATAACTGCAGCTATTAAATCAACAGCATACCTTTTTTGTTCATCAAATTCATTGCATAACCTTTTCATCATCCAACAACATACAATTTAAGACAAGAAAGATTATTTCCACATGTATACAGTTACAAATGAACACCCCAAAGAATATTGAAAAGAACGCAAAGCAACTACAGAAATTACACCCCAAATTCATCAACCCCAACACAATACAATATCTCTTGTTGAATATCACACAATTAATCCCAAATTCAAGACCTCAAATTATACTAGTTAATTAATGTTCAAATCCTCACCTCTCTACATATGCATGCACACTTCATTCATCATCCTCTGCCTTGTGTGTTTTTTTCTTGAAAGCCCAATCCTAATAAATTCAAAATCATTCATTCATACCCGGACGAAAAAGATACTGAGCTCGGGCCCCTGATTCCCATCCGGGCTCACCATGTAGAGCGTCTCGGAATCCCTTGACCCAACAACCCTATCGAAATGGGCCCTCATATACGCCATCTCTCCATCTACCTCGGCCAGGCCCGGTAAGACCCCTGCCCCCATAGACACGGCCCTGAGAACCTCCATGACGTGCAAATCCTCCTCTGTTGCGTCCCTTCGGACCCCATAACCGGCCTTTTTCCCGTTACAGAACATGGTCCATAAGGGCTCGTCCAAAAGCTCTGTTTTATCCTTATCGGGCCTTTTTTCGCACTCGAGGGCAATTCGGACCATTCCGAGGCCCATTTCTTTCTGTAGGGCCTGGGTTTGCATTGCCAGCTCCACAACGGCTGTGGGGAGGGTTCGCGGGTTCTCTTGGAGGGAGAGGCTGACGCGGCCTTTCCGGTAGCCGAACAGGGTACCGGTGACGCGAGCGCCGCCGGAGACTTTTCCGTCGGGGAGGCGGCCGCCGGGGAGGGAGGGGAGGCGGCACGCGGCGGGGGTGATGATGGGGAAGGAGCGGAAGACGTTGCGGAAGGCGCGGAAGACCTTGACGGGCCGGCTTTTTTTCTTGGTGGAGGGCTGGACGAGGGTCAGGGCGGACGACGGCGGGGGAGGAGGCGGAGGGGCGGCGGCGGAGGAGGGGGAAGGGTCTCCCATCACCGGATGGATCAGCAATGGGAGGGACACGTGGCGGCACGAGAACAGGGGACCGGTTTTTTTGGATGTGTGTGTGTGAGAGAGAGAGAGAGAAGGGATTTGATGAGATGAATTGAAATGCGGCGGCGGTTGGCGGTGGGAAAAACGAAGATCAAAATGTAGGTGGTGGGCAAATTTTTTGTGGAGGTGTGTTTTTTTTATTGGGGAAAATGTAGAAACAGGGGAGCAGATGAAAACAATTACTGGCTGTTAAATTCGATATTATTTTTATTATTATTATTATTATTATTATTATTATTATTATTATTATTATTATTTATTTTGTGTATTATTTTGTTATGTGTGGAGGAACTCCAAGGTATTCGGAACTAAAATTAGATATGGGAAGACTTCTATAAATCCAGATCTTGATGAGCGACTTCTCTTCATATTGCTGCAAATATTTTTTTTTGTTTTTTGTTTTTTTGAGTTAATTTCTCCTTCAAGTATTCAATAATTCACACATTACATCTTATATATTCCATTAAAATTGACGAATTGCCTTCTGATGCATAAGAATTTTTAAAAATGACTCTCAAAACCAGTTTTTTGATTGGTCAAAGCCGGTTTAAGATGATCAAACCCCGATTTTTTAGGAGGCATTTTGAAGAATTTGTACACATGGGGAGGCAATTTATCAACTTTAAAAGAATGAGTGTCAAAATGCCAATTTTGAAAAGTGTGGGAGGCAAAAGGAAAATTTTGTACATATCATGAGCTAATTTGTCAACTTCAAAGGAATTAGAAACAAAGTGTTAACTTTAGAATGTTTTATCAGTTTTGCTATGAATTCAACAGTTGACTATATAGTGGAGCCAACTTTTTATATATAACAAGTAGTCATACCATATTTTTGATTACTTAAATATACTAATAATTTTATTAATATGGTATGGTTTACTTGTTGTATATAGAAGGTTGACTCTACTATGGAGCTAAGTGTTGACTTCATAGCAAAACTGAATAGTTTATTATTTGGAAATTTTTTTCCTCAACAAACAAATATACTATGTGTTGGAGGATGGTGGCACGGGGAGGTCGTAGCGGGGCATGGTGCATTAATTTGAGATGTGACAAACGTGGGTTACTATTCAACTTAGTCCCTAAGCTCAATCTCTTTATAGAGATTGAGAAGTACAAGAATTTAGCTACTAAGGACAATAAGGGTTGTGGAATATTATGAGAGATGGAGTGGAGATCTTGATGTATAGACATTACGTATAAGTTTAATGTGGGTTGTTCTTAACGTTGTCATTTCTTTCAAGTATAAATTTGAGCATGATAAATGAGGAAAAAATAAATCAATAATTACCCTTGTATGCTCACCCATCTTTTTTTATCTCAATAAAAAAACAACCAAATTTTTGACCTACTTGTCTCTAAATAGTAGTCGGCCCCAACACCCTTTTGCAAGTGTCTTGTTCCCATATTCTTCGCCGCTGTCTCTGAGTCAACCTTCTTTGTCTTACCGGAGATGTTTGACCGTGGAGATCGTGTCGTGGCAGAGACAACAACACACATTTGAGGGCAACATCTACAATCTATAGTGTGGCCAACTGTTCTCTCAAACTTCTTAGCCGATTGAGGTGTTTTGGAGTTTTCATATCTATGAGCCTTGGTTGTAGTCCTTCCGTGTACCTATAATATTTATGTCATCGACATTGACTGAAACGATACAAATGCCATTCAGTGACATTTATATGAACACACGAGGACACCTTATTATTTCCATATTTATTTTTCAATTAAAACTCATTAAGTTGGTTGTATCACATTCTACGCGACTATTTTAAGCCATATGATGACCTTTTGCAATTTGATGATGTACATGTTGTGTGTTTCATAGAGGCAAATGTGTCGTCAACGACTATGTTACTTTTATTATAAGTTTCACAAGTATCAACAAATTTCAAAGTTACTTCAATTTACATAAACCAGGTCTTCATAATTTCTCAAAAATATTTTGGATCTCGATGTTCTACAATCCTAGTATTAATTATCTCGATATCATCTGCATACAACATGCAATCGGTGACATCCAATTGCAATCGGTGACATGCTTTGGAACACAAAGAAAAATTCTATTGGTTTAAACGGTTATGCTATTGAGTCATCGAATGATACGACTTATAGAATCATCCACAATTATTCGTGTATTGACATGTGTTCTACAATAAATACATTTTGAACAAGTGTCAGTGCATCAAATTATGAATGACTCCATAAGAAAGCTATCCACTGACTCCATTGAACTTTTACTGGTTTAAAATCCTAATGTCCTTGATTTCAAAATCCATTATAGAATTACAAATTCTCTAGTGACAATTTTTGTGTAAGGTGGTAGTGCAAAGTTAGATAGATTTACTCGTCATATATTTTTTTTAACAAAAATATATAAATATCATTTTTTATTTATCTTATTTTTAGTGTATGTCATTTGAACTTAAAAGTATATATATCTATTTATGAATTATACATAATTCGTCTAACTTCGTCAAACTATCCTTGTTTACGAATTATATTAAAAAAAATGAGGCCAATTCATAATTAACGATAAACCAGGGGTCCCAAAGTAACACTCGCGAGAATATAATTTTAAGATTAAGTGGATCCTACTAAAAATAAAAAATTAAGTGGACTCCGTGAGTGTTATGTACATCTCTGCGTAGGTACATGTAACATTTTTCTAATTTTAAATGTATCCCCTTTTCTATATTGTGGTCGGTCAGCGGCACTTATTATTATATTTTCCCTTCGCTTCAACTCTCAAAATACTCGCCAAAACCCCCCTTTTCGTCTCCAAATTTCCTCTCATTTTTCTCTTTTCGATCTGAACCCATTAATTTTTTCCCTTTTATTTCCCCACTTTCAGTTTCATTTGAACTGTTTGTGCAAGTAAAAGAAGCCTTAAACAAGGAGAAATAATGGAGTTTGGGGATGAGCTGATAATAGAGAGCTACAAAATGCCATGGCTTATTTGGGTTCAATTGCTTGTTATGATTCTCCTAATTGCCCTCCTCTTTTTCGGGTTCACCGTCGTTACTTCAGGCTCCTCCACCAGCTCCGCCGCCGCCTCGCCGCCGACTGGCCGGAAGGATGCACCGGCGACGCAACTCGGCCACCGTATCTCTTCCAACGGAATGGTTAATGTTGTTTTTCCTTTTCTTTTTGGTTTGTTTTTACATTATTGATACTTTTAATTTTATTTCATGTAGGACACTTTTTTTATTGGTATGATTTTTTTTTTTTCAATAAAAAAAGTATGTGAACGACTGTGAAAATTCAAAGAAAATTTTACTGATAGCTCACATTTCGTATACCTTTCATCAATCACTTGTGATTTTCATCTTTTAAATTTAACCTATTACACTTTCACATTTCATATTTTGAAAAGAATTATAATAAATGACCCATGTTTTGGTCACAATAACTGATTGGCTAAGGTGTCGTTAATTAAGAGTCACTTTACATATTCTGCCATGTTTTTCAGTATTCTTGCAACTTTTTTACTCTGTTGATGATGATTGTGTTTGAGTGGCCTCCCTTTCTTTTCAACAAAAAACATTAAAATAAATTAATTTCTATTCTTAGTTATTTCATTTTTATTTTATTTTATTTTTTCTGTGTGTATTTTTCTTAAATTTTAGGCTAGTTGGAGGGTGGGGTTGGTGGGGGAGAAAGGTGTTGAATAATTGTCCTAATCTTGAATATCACCTTTCACATATGCTTTACTTAAACTTTGAGAAAAAGGGAAAAAAAAATGGAAAATTTTAATAATTTTGCTTTGTCTGATTCGAGTTTGTAAGATACTAAGATTAATCCATGTTTGGATTTTGTTTTGTTTTGTTTTGAATCTTGAAAATGCTATGCCAACTTCAGAACTTGATTTTTTTAAAATATGGACTATTGCCCCTTGGTTTCTGGTGCAGTGGTTAGCTAAAGCGGTGTTTTTTTTTTCCCCCTAATTTAATGGGTTCTTCAAGATTCTCTTTGGAGCAACTCTGTGGGCATGATTCTTTCTTCTGCTAGACAATGGCTGTAAAATGCCAGAATTTGAGATAAAGGCTTATGAATAACAAAATATGTAAAATTGATGCTCTTACTTTAAAAATACCTTAGGGTGTGATTGTTTATGAAATAATTTGTTCAAAATGAATTATTTTGGTTAACCATAGTTAATTTTGAAAAAAGTGGTATGGTTAGTTGTTAGTGGAATTTTAAGAATGTATTATAATAATATTTAAAATAAAATAATTAAAATTGATTTGATGTAAAAGTATGAGATAAATGATTGGAAGTTAAAATTATGTGAGTGAATGTTGATGTGATGTGTAAGAATGATTGATTTGTATTATTTAATTATATGAATAATATTAAAGATAGTGGGGTTGAGTTAAAGTTGAATTAGATTTTGAGGATAAAATAAATGAGAATGAAATAATTCATAACAATCAAGCCCTTAGGGGGCGACTGTATACAAATTGTACAGTAAAAAAACCAATTAAAACTCAAATTTAACTCAATTTTAACTCAACTTCACTATCTTTAATATTACCAATATAATTAAATAATATCAACCAATCATTCTTACACATCACATCAACTTTAATTCACTATTCATCTACTCACATAATTTTAACTAGTTATCACTTCCAATCATTTTCTCCTACTTTTAGATCAAATCAAGTTTAATTATTTTATTTTAAATATTATTTTAATATATTCACTAACAAATAACTATACCACCTTTTTTCAAACTTAACTATAGTTAAAAACTAACTAGTTTTTTACTAGTTGAATTTATATCCAATCACCCCCTTAGCTTCTATGTGTTCATGTTTTAAGTTTTTAACTTCAATTATGCGGCAGGTGGAAGAACACCATGTCGGAACTAGTGGAGGCCCGATTGTAGAGGACTGCCAACAGCACGAACATGAATCTTCTCCCGAAAAGGATTCTACAGTTTTGAATATTTTCCAGCACCCAAATCACCCTTGCAACTACATTGCGATTGCAAAGAAAGCGCTTTTCAAGTGCTTCGGCTTAGGCTCTGGCTCTGAGAGCTCAACCATTTACCAGCATGAGAAAAACGAGTGATGAGACTAAATGGAAGATGAGGCTCAAGTCCAAATGTTTTATATCTCTGAAGTAGCTTTTAATGTAATTGACCTAGTGTGTACATTTGCAATTTGTATTTGGTACTGAACTACTGATAAACTCTCACCTCACATAACAAGATCCTATTCTTTCTTGAACTTAAGGAATATTTCTATTATTGCTTTATATGCTAAAAGAATTTCAACACAAACAGATGTGTGAGTGTGAAGCTAAGATGATATCCAATAAGCTTTCGCTTTCTGAGAAATAAGCCGATCATAAATGAAAAAAAAAAAAACAGCAACTAGCAAGATTATTGACTGGCAACAAATCGGACATGGTTTAAGAACACCAACACATGCTAAGAGATCTGCAAAATACATTTACAAAGAAGTCCATGGAGAGAACAATACATTCATCCTAGTGCAAAAACTGGAACACATATTATGCTTTCGAACGAGAAGCCAGATATTTCAGCAGCATTTTCGAGTACCGGGTGATAGTGAAAAGCATCTGTATAACAGCACGCCCTTTAACAATTCCTTCCCTCATGTTACGTGCGGTTCTAGCTAGAGTCGGGTCTGATGTTTGAGGTTTTGTTGGGCCCACGTCCTGCACAGGTACTATTCAAGTAAAGATTAAGCAAAATGAAAATTTGAGGGACAACTTAAATTTTTTTAATCAAGCTAAACTTGATCGGTAGCTTTTATGATTGCCATTAATAGAGTAAGCTGAATCATTGTAATAACCTATTGGGTTTGTGTTTGTCAACCGTCTCAATCTTTCCTCCGCCAGACGAACAGCTCGAGTCGAACTCCTAACTCCTTGTGTTATTTCTTGGCTGTAAATTTTTTTTAAAAAAAAAAAATAAAAATAAAAAATAAAAAATAAAAAATCTGTTTTTACGTAACCTTAGAGGATTTGATTGCTGGAGAAGGTATATATCTTATTAATACTAACCCGAGGTCACTGAGCTCCATGGTTAAGTCACTGATCTCCATTCCTGATAATCGAACAGCGGCCATTGTGTCAGGTAATTCCTCCCTTGTGGTGTCCATTAGCTTCTCCAGTGACTCTGCAGCTCTCTTGAAAGCCTTCATTGAATGATATTATAACTCATCACCGTGAAATGGAAAGGAACATACCATGTGGTCTTATACAGCGTCTCATTATGGCATTTTAGTATTGGAAATTATAATTGTATTTTTCAATCACTGCATTAATATACTATCTGGGAGCTCCTAGTAGCTCTTCCACAATTGGTTATATATTAACACAAAACTTCAATGAAGTATAAATGAGTGGAAATCTCTTAGTATCCACAAACTTAGAGGATGGACTCAGTTACATTTATCATAATGCCTTGAACATGTAATTCTAATGTTCAATTCTACAGAATACGAAGGGATATAAAAGAATACGAACCAGTAGAGTTGGAATTGCTGAGCAGAAGAGCCATGTTGCAGAAATTGCTGCCTGAAAATCGACATCAAATTTAAATCCTTAGTGTTCCATTACAAACTGATGCACCTCAAACAAACAAAAACACAACATGAAAAAAACACCGATGGCTGAAACCTTCAACTTAGCATGGTAAACTTAAGTAAATGCAAAATTGTCCACCTTGTGTACAGAATAAGCAAGTTACAGAAATCGCTTGACTTCATCAAGCACACCTGGTTGTAAGTCTAGTGCACGTGAATAGACTACTAAACCATTCAAACACAGTAAACATATTTCTACCCATCATTTGATCTTTAACCATTCATAACTGAAAAATTATTAACTCTGTTTTTTAACCTTAGATGACTAAACCCAGAGGAAGATAATCAAAATTTACAGGAGAAATTGTACTTGTACCATTGTTTTCCTACAAAGCGAGATTAGGTAAATAGATATTTCTTGATGCTTAGATACTCAAGTGATTCAGAACCTCCAGTAGTAGAACTCCAAACAACTGCTGAAATTTTCAACACCCAATAAATTTCATAGAAATTAACATAACTAAGTACTGTACAGTATCTAAAGCTTGCTAACCAGAGTAAATTGTCACCATAAAGACTAAATAACAGTTCAGGATTCAGTAAAGACACATAGAATAAAGTAGCGGGAAAATGTGTTTTGTTTCAAGGAAACATAAGAAATTGTATTTAAATTGATCTAAGATGTTCAACATGTTTGAAAAGAGTGAAGTTTCAACTCATTTCAGACTGGTACCATTTTTCTCATTCCCCATTTCAGTTTCTAGTGGAAATATCAAGCGTAACGGAACACGCGTAGAATCGAAAGATAGTTTTTTTTTTTTCAGCATAACTTTCAAGAACATTCATGATTCAACAACACGTGGTTTCTATTTAAATGTCCATATGTAACTTTATCAATTTGGCTCATAGCCTATGAGCTATTTTAAGAAGGCTTTTTCATTAGTTCCCATATTAGTCCAGAATGCTTAAGCTACAAAATCATACGAACTATTTTCCCATCCACATGGTTTCACTTTTATTTATGTTTAGAATGACTAGAACCAAAATTGCTTTCAGCTGGATAATATTCATTATGATACATATCTTTCTCCGTTACTAAGAACACAAGAACCTGTAGTCCTCTTCGCAAAGCAAGAATAGAAACCTCTATATATAATGCACGAATTGAATCCAAGCTAGTTCTATTATCATGTTTAGAAAGTCAGTTACCTGCTCAAGCACATTATTTCTGGTTTTAGAACTGAACAATGCATCAAGCAACTCAATGGAAATGAAGAACAAATGCACAGCCACTCAATCGACTCATAAAAATCAGACATTAAATTTTGAAATAAAAAAAAAAAGTTAATTTGAACAAAAACATATAAATCCCAAATATAAATGAATAAGCTGAATAAATTCGAGACGTCTTCCGTGAAGACTATAAAAAATCTAGGTTCAGCTAGCTCACACACCCACACAAACACACACGCACAGAGAGAGAGAGAGAGAGAGAGCGTACGGCGCAGGCGAAAAAACTGAGGACTTGAATGTGGCGGCGAGTTATCGTCCGGTGAGAGAGGTGAAGCGAGGTGGAAGGCGCAATGGTGGATGTGAACTGGGAGGAAACCGATGGCACATCCTCAGCCGATTGAACAGTGATGGAAGCGAAACGGCAGCGGATGGGCAGCCGGGGAGACTGCCGGCGGACGCCCGAGGAGACTGCGGCGGCGTCGGGTTCCCAGCTTAGGCGGATCCGAGCAGGTTTCGAAACCTGCAACTTGAACGCATTCAACATCGATCGCTAAATGAGGTGTGAGCGCACATATGAAGCATATGCTTTGTTAATTTTTTTTCAGTCCTCGCAATCTCCGAACAACGCCAGGGTCTAAACTCACAGCACAGTCGAGTTATTTGTTCTATTGGTCGAAACCGACCAAAAGGACCGAAAATCGGTTTGCCCCATAATTAAACAAGAACCGAATTGAACCAAAATAAAATGCATTTATTTATTACCATATGACAAAGAGCACTTAAATTTATTGATTTTTAATTTAAAAAAAACAAAAAACTCTTGTGTAAAGTAGTATAAACTAACTACCTAATTGAACCTAAAACAAATTAGCCACACTAATGTTTGTTTATTAAAATTTTTGGTTTTGTTTTGATTTTTTGGTTTGATTTGGTTAATTTTGAAAAAGGTGGTATGGTTAGGTGTTAGTGGGTATATTAAAATAATATTTAAAATAAAACAATTAAAATTGATTTGATTTAAAGTATGAGAGAGATGATTTGAAGTGATAGTAAGTTAAAATAATGTGAGTGGATGAATAATGAATTAAGGTTGATGTTGTGTGTATGATTGATTGATTGATATTATTTAATTATATTGATAATATTGATGATAGTGTGGTTGGGTTAAAGTTGAGTTAAAAAAAAAATAATTGAGTCAAAATGTTGGAAATTTTTTGAAAAACCTTATAAGCAAACATGCTCTTATGTCGCTATAACGGTAAGAAATTCTAGTAAATACAGTTGACAGAATGAAAAAGAATTAAATACTTACAAATAAATACAAAACCTCAAAAAAATCTCAAAATATCCAAGGTTCAATTTTATTAACTTCCAGGACACATTTACAAAAGATAATGGTGCCCCCTCAAGGTTGGGTACAAATTTCATAACCCCACAGGATTTCAGTATCTTCTTATTTCTCATTTTGCATACATATATACACACTAGCATAGATATATCATAACATATTGCAGTTAAAACAATACAAAGTCCTAATTTATATATTCTTAACCCCTTGTTTTTTTTTCCCCCTAAATTCAATTCAAAAGTTTTTCCTGTGTGGCTTTCCTGTAAAATCAACTACTGCTAAACCTGAAGATCTAAATTAACGAACGGCCGGCGTACTTTTTTTTCGGCCAAACCCAAAAAGTTTAAGAAAGAAAAAAAAAAAAAGAAACCCAAATACTGCACGAACGCTTCATGCAGCATTTTCCCATTTTCCCTTCTATTTATTATTGCCGATGAACTTCCACAACAATCGTGTTGCAAAAGAAGCATCTTTGGCAGTTTAAGAGGTGCCTCGATATGCAGCTGTAGCAAGAGACGTGTGAACAAGGCGAAAAATGAGCTTCCGCCTTATTTTCGTAGCATATGCAGCAAAGGCTATTATCTTCTATTTCCGAATCTCCGCCATGTGTCCTCTTCTTATTCGCTTGCAACTCTGTCTGACAGTTTAGGAGGCTTTCCTCTAGCTTCGACAGTTGATCTTTGTAATCTTCTCCCTTGGTGGAGCCCGCCTGGTAAGATCCATTGGAAACAATTATTAGGAATAAGTCGGAAAGTGGAGGCCAAAAAGTGTCGACTTTTTCCTACTTTCAGCTTCTCACAAAAACTAAATGCATGTTTGCATACAAAAATTTTCACTCAAAATCTAACTCAACTTTAACTCAACTCCAATATCTTCGATATTTTCAATATAATTAAATAATATTATCTAATCATTCTTACAGATTGCATCCTCTTATATATAATTCCAGAATATGTGAGCCTAAGTGGCAAGCTCGTATGCTTCGGAATCCTATGTGGCGCAAAACTTCATGCTTTATTATTTGGATTGGATAGATTTTAATTAATTTCATTCCAAAGATAATTAGGTTTACATTATCCATAAATATATTGATTATCTATGGTATGATCATGTATTAATTGCATTTTAATATAATTTCCTTTTATAACTATTGAATTGTAAATATATTTTAAAAGTTAATAATTTTTGTATTTTTTATCAGTTTTACACATATAATATATCAAATTAACTATCTCTTGATTAGCTTCGATTTGACATCCATATTGTATTCATAAAATAAATTATATTTATCTTTATAATAATAATAAAATTATTTATCAATATTAATTAAAAAATAAAATTATTTATCAGTTCATATATTTATGCTTAAAGTAGATATATGGAATATGTTAAAAAAATATTATAATATAACACAAGTACGTCGAACAAGTAACAAGTGTCATTCTAAAATCTATAATAATATATATTTTTTGTACAAAGTATTTTAAATTTCAAAATACTTTTTCTCATAATTTTAAAGTTTAAGAATAATTTTTTTAACAAGCACCCGTGTAATACATGGGTGTAGTAGTCTACTTTAATTTACTATTCATCCACTCACATAATTTTAACTAACCATCACTTCATATCATCTCTCTCCCACTTTTACATCAAATCAACTTTAATTATTTTAATTTAAATATTATTTTAATATAAATCCAAAATCCCACTAACAACTAACTATACCATCTTTTTTTAAATTAACTCTAGTTAACCCAAAAAATCCACATTGAGTGAAAATATTTGTGTACAAACATCCGATAATATTCTTAAAATGAGATGATTCTAAATGTTGAGGAGTATGATAGTGAAGTATAAGATGACCGAACAGATTACAACAATACTAGCTAATCAATTTTTTAGCATAAAAAACTTATAATCATTAAATATTATGCAAATTTTGTAAATTGAGGAGTAAAGACAAGAGAGAGCTCAGAAAATGTTTAAGATGGAATAGTATTTCTGAATGAGAACAGGTGTTTTGGTTACTAGGCTGAAAGAAGTTTCCTAGTAGTTTTAGTAATTTNAAACAAAAGTTAACAAGTGATTGATTGATACGCACCCAATTGTACTTGAGGAGATAATCAAATCCACATCGTATAGTATCAGCACATTCCATGCTGGCAAAGACTCCAACAATATCATTCCGAATCCCATCATCAGAGTCTCTACTTGCATCCAACAAGTTCAGAATAATGCCGGCAAGTGGTGCTAAAATCATGCCACTATTGATCTTCTCAGAGGAATGACCTGATCGTCTAATCGATCTGCATTTTATAAGCGACAAATTTTTTGTTGAGAGAAAAAAGAAAATTAATAAAAAGAAAAGAGTTCACGCAAACAATTTTAGGAGAAATCGAAGAATGTTTGAGCTACATGTGAAGTAAATGAAAAAAAAAAAAAAAAAAAATCTAATTGACAAACTTACAGGTCTTCTGGGTCGATCGTAACAATTAGGTGGGTCAATATGAAGACAATTAACTCGGCCAGCCTTCGCAAGTTTGTGTCCATTCCCAAAACAAAAGCTTGAGGCATTTCGCGTGTACAAAACTCTAATACCCTCGCAAGGTTGCAGGAGAGATCAAATATCACATTGCATTTCCTTTGCTGGAGTTCCTTCAACTGTAAATGCAAACAATTCATTCATTAAATTTTCAATGTGGGATTAGGTTACAGATTACCCTATGCGTTATAAGGTGCAATCTAACTACAAAACAATTCAGTTATCCTTCGAAGTTTACAGATATCCCCATAACAAATTAGATACACCCTCTTTAAGTTTTTATTTTAGCTAAAATAGATACAATCTCTGAATGTGCAATTTATAATATTCAACTACAAAGGGAGTATTGTTCCATTCGAATAACAAGATTACTGTAACATGACAGTATCAATAGAATGTACCTTGTTTTCTTGCATTTCACGAACTGAAACAGAAAATTCTGTCATGGCCCAGCTAAGAGTATTAAACAACCGGTTGAGAAAAGCTGAGAATAATTCATTGTCACTGATGCAAGCTTCCCGGAGCAATCTCTTCAGAATTAAAACAACAGAAACATATTTAATATAAAAGATGGAAGAATGAAAAAGTAATACTAAGCAGGCTAAGGGAATAGTCGCATAAACATCTGCTTCTATAGAAAGTGACTTTTGAAGTTGAAGCAAAAGTAACTGGAAAAAAGAAAAGAAAGAGAAGTTCAAAAGAGTCTTTTGACAGAATTTGCAGAAGTCCTTCACTTGTGAGCAAAAATCTAGCTAAAGCAAGACCAGAATATTAAGCACCACTTAGATTCAGAAGCAGAAGTTAACATTTGAAAACGGCGATAACTACTTTTTTTTTTCGTCCAGAAACTAACAATGTGTTTGCAAGCACTCACTCTTTTATCAAATAAACAAATAGTTATTGTCACCTGAAATAGTACAGACGAGGATGATGACTCTCCACGTTTTGAAAAACCGAAACCAGAGCCCTTGCATAACCTAAGAAGTATATTAGTCACGGGAATCCAGGACCGATTATCAAACGCTGACAATAAAGCTTTTGGCATCCTTTCTCTTGCTGCTTCATTACATTCAAAAGCAGCCAAGAATTCCGCGTCTTGTACCAAGACCAATATAGAATGGAGAAGAAGATCCCGTAGCTCCGCACTAGATATCCTTGAATCGTTAAAGTGGGTAACAACAAAAGTGATCTGATAAAGAAAAAATAGAAAGCGAAACTTTATTTCCAGAGGCAAGTCAATAACTTCTCCATGTTGTGTTTTTATTACAATAAACTTATGTAAAGCTGTAATCCCCACTGTATACACGAATAGGTACGATGTAACAAGATGTGAAAGGTTGAAGAAATCTTAGAAATTAAAAAAAAAAAAAATAAATAAATAAATAAAAAAAAACAGGTATATATTATTTTACAATTTTTCAAGGTCAGCTCAAACCTGGTCTAGGAACAGATAAAATGCAAGAGAGAGAAGAGAGATTGTTGCAATATATGAGTTCGTGATGGGAAATCATTCACAATGATGTAAGAAAAAATGAAATAAAAGATAAAGAGAACAATTAATGACATACAAAAGATGTGAGTCCTTGCTTGATAAGAATCGCAGCAGGGACAAACGGAGGATCACTCTTACGCAGTACATGAAAGCAATCAACCTGACAGAAAGGACAAAAATGATATCAACGGTAAAATATTGACAAATTGCAAAGGAAAAGGGGATGTTAACATGGATTCCATGGACATCTCTACTCGAAGTTAAAATCAGTAAAAAGGTTAGTATATAGTGTTTGTCCAAAAGCCACAACTAAAATAACAACACAAAGCATTTAACCCTCTATGTGGGGTCAGATTGTATATATGACAACAAAATAATAATAAAATCTGGATCTTCTAGATGCCCAGATATTTAAAAGGAGAGGTCATCAAATATAATAAGACATCATTTATATAGAAACTATAACTCTCCCAAGCATATGAAACTGATACCTATGCTGATGAAGCAAAACCATAGCCAGGTAGTGAAACTATAATATGATGGTACAGAAATATTAAGTAAAATACTAAAATATCAACAGAAGAAATACATAATGTGACATTATAAAGGTCAGGGTAAGAATACAATACCACAGTTTCTAGATAATACTCAGGAATGTACACGAATATTGAATCCACTTTGCTAAGGACCAGAAGCAATTGTGCAGTCCACATGCAAGCTGCATACATTCCCCTTTGTTTCCAACGAGAGAAAAGCGAAAGTCGGTACCTGTTCAAATACAATCAAGACTTCATTAACTTGCAAAACATACAATACAGCCAGCAATAACTTCTGGACACTATAGGGAGTTCATTGAGGTTTATCCCAATCACAAATAGAAGTCAATTAGAAAAGATTTAGATTTTGACGTGCTATTAATGGGTAATCAATAACATTGGAACCAAATAGAAAGGACGTTTGGCTAAGTTTGTAACGTGTAAGCTCTTTAAAATACTTTATCAGGTGCTCAAGAAAAAAATACTTTATCAGGTGCTCAAGAGCTTATAATCTAAGTTCTCTTGGCGAAGTATGTTAAGCAAAGTCTTGCAAGCTCCCAAAACAAGATGTTAGGAGCTTAAAAATTGTTCGTAAATAAGAAAGGGTCAACTTTTCTCCAAATGAACTTATTTTTAATAGAATAAAAACTGAAACTGTATAGTGTGAATATTCAACAGTAAAATGTACTATGTGGAAAAAGAACAACTTCTAGATGATGTCATGATGTAGCATAAAATATAACTGAACAACGTGCATGCTCCACCTGGTAAGCCAGTCACAAAGACATCTACTCATAGCCAGAACAATACAATTAAGTGGGTCTTTGCTAGCTACATAAATTGGCTGTTTAGTTGGGACAGAATATAGGAGAAGCATATGCCAATTGAAAAGAAATAAAGGGATTTCAAAGGCATGAGGAAATTTAACATGTTTAACGACAACACTTTTTATCCATTCAAGGAATTCTAGGGACAGCCAAAGGGAAAAAAGAAACTGCAGTTCAAAATGAAAGGCAAGATGATATGTAGCAAATATGACAAATTCATCACAAAACACGTGACATAAAAACAAGATATAATAATTGCGGAAGGAGTATTTATGCTTCACAAAAAAAAACAAGCACCACATTCCACAAAAAAAGGGACATTCATATAAAACAGAACATGAATGGACCAGTACCAATGAGAATGCCTGACGCAATCCATAACCTCTTCCCTGTAAACGCTTCGAGCTTCCTTCAAGCGCTTCACTTGGTCAACATATACGCACTCTCTAATTTGTCTGTCTGTGTCTTCCAGGAGGGTAACAGATTGAGATTGACGAGACATGAATGATGATGCCTGAAAAACAAATCCATTCTCTAAGCCATCTCTAATTATATCATTCTGCAGATATAAAGCTAATGATGGTGCGAAGTAAAATCCACACTTCATCAAAGCATAACTATGCTGGAAAACAGAAATGCTTCTTTTCCTTAAGGAGCTTCATAAGGTTTATTGGCTTGGCATAAATGAAAGAATTTTCAACTTAACCACGTAAAAACGCAGAGAGCGCAATAGTGCAATTCATAAATGTGATGCCAAAAGTCAATCAAGAGTCTTCCAATTTAATCAACAGTGTTTCTTTCTCATCCTTATTCACACTTCCAATAATATATCACAACACACCCAAATAGAAAACATAAAATAAAATTTCTGCTCACCTGCTTTAAGTTTGGTGCAAGACCCAAATGATACAACAAAAGCATAGCATCTAAAAGCTCCTCCTCTTTCAAAGTAGCCGAAGGCAACACACTCTCCCTCGGCAGTATCCATAATTGTTGCATAGGTCGAAAGGAAAACTCGGGATCAGAGTGGTCGCTCGTGCTTGGCTTATCTGCAATCTCATCATTTAGACTGCTTGTACTACATTCTGCTGAGACATGAGAAGCTCTGTCCGAAATAGAGCTGCAACTTCCATGAGAGCCTTTACCCAAATATCTCACAGGATATTTCGACATTCTCGACATATCAGCATCATAACTAGAACAACAACACGGTTTCTTACTACCAAGATGGGTTGCTTTCGTTTCTTCATCGTCCCTGCACCCCTCTTCCCACCGAATAATTTCTTCTTCCTCCTCGTCATTTACAGGATTAGATTTTACTAAATGACTGTAAGATCCTCCAAGCCTCGATATATCAACTCGATGAGGATCACCCTTCAGAAACAGACCAGCGGGAAAACATTGTTCACCGCCCCTATGAAGGAAACCCACATGATCTTCAGAATCGGTAGTACCAGAGCCTTTAATCCACCCATGGATGTCACCCATGGCAAAACCCTCTGACAGAAAATGTAGAATAACAGTAAATAAAGACACAAGCACCGAGTTGTTTGAAACTCCAGTGGGAGGCATATTACGGTCTGCACCCCTGTTCTTCAATAAAATGTTCTGTAAAAATGTCCTAAAAACTGAGCCAGGCAACTGCACGGGGGCTACAGGTGGTATAAATTGCATGACAAGACGACAGAGGTCCCTTTGCTTCTCTTCTATCTGCAGATGCGCCACAAGTCATGCCATGAAATGTGAATAAAAATCAGAGGGGTTGTAATAGTTTGTCGTAAATAAAAAATGAGATAATATAGCGCAATTCAGACTCACAATAATACATCAAAGAAAGAATATTAATAATGAGCTAAAAATCAAGTAAGCTATCAATATATCTGCAGAAGACAAAGAGCATCCACAGAACGCCATTTATTATCAAGATAGTTTAAGGATCCATAGTTTTCCCCCCAGCAAAATGGAAAAAGAAAGAGAAATCTAACAATATACTTCATTTTATGAGATTGCAAAGTATTCAGTATTGTGTGCGCAAATCATCAAACGCACTAGTTTCCATTTTAAGGTTGAATACAAGTTAATCATGGACAAGTGATAGAGTGTGTAATTTCTTACCTGTTCTACTCATATTGGAACAGTTGCAAATGATTTGATTTCCTACTATGAGACAGCATAGTAAAAGCCCTCAGCAAGGAATAGCCCCACTTTGCCAAAATGTAAGACAACTAAAATCGACTCTTTCATAACAAAACATAACTAGCAGAACAAACAAGCATACAAAAAATAAGTTGAATCAGACTTCACATTCATCCTTAAATAAGACCTTTCAATGATCACATACCATAGATGACTAACTGTATATGCATAAAGACCAAATATGAAAACGGCCGTATTTAAGCATAAAACATGCCAGGAGGAAATAAGGAAACAAACAAATCGGCAGTTCATTGACCCAGAGATATATTCCCACTAAGTATTAAGTATGATGGATTGTAAGTTTTTATTACCATGCACCTACTCAATATTTTCATTGATTATAACTAACCTTGACAGGCCATAAACAGCAGCACTGATCATTTGCATCATGAGAAGGAGTGAAAAGAAAAACTAAAACACAGAACTATTTAAGACATCGAAGGAGAAGTAATTGATACATAACATTTAATGCAATTCTAATAAAGCTTCTTTAGCCAAAAAAGACACTAAACAATATATTTGAACTGTTGGATAGGATGGTTAATGGACTATGGACAAGTTCAACGCATACATTCTACCCCATAAATTGTGGGCCAATGGTATGGTAGTGACGGAAAGGTATCAATCTTCTCTGAATCTTCTTTCCTCTCGGATCTAGCAGCTTTTGGTATTACACGTGCTTTAGCATTCTTATGGGAAGAGTCTCGGCAGAACTAACATTAGTTCAAATCCAATCTAACAAATGCATAAAGACACCATTGATACAATAAAACATACCTTATTCACTGCTTCAGATAAAGCTGTAGTTGTCAGCACCATGCTATTCTCGCTAGAAATATCCTCACATGATCCAGGCCACCAAACAGAAGGAATTAAGCATTGAAGATCTTGCTTATTTGGGCTTTTCCTCGAAAGAAATCCTTCAAACAAGAACTCAAAATCTGAAGATTCCCACCACAGTGTCATCAGTTCCTGTCGTCTGAAAATGTAACATGCCAGAGCGAGATAACTGTATGACCCAGAATAAGGACACTCAGTCAGAACCAATGACGCTGTTTTACATCTCGATGAGAGGGCACCAAAAACATGCTTAAGCAATAACTTAGACTCCTCAAAGCCGAGAAAGGAATCAAGTACTCTATCCAAAGTTAGATAGTCATGTGGTGGATGCACTCTGAATATATCCATCATGAATGACAGAAAAGTACCGTGTCCCAAATACTCTGCGCTACCAAACTCAGCACTGATGACAGACAATAACTCTTCACAAATTCCATGAGAGACAGGACGCAACAGTTCTTCAAACGATGCAAAACGTTTCAGTCTTCTGAGCTTCTCAACAGTGTCGATTTCGGCCCTCTCTGTCCGCTGCATTTGCAACAGCCTTAAGAAGCAATCGAGGAGACTGGCCGCAAGAGACAATGAAGAAGGGGGCGCTTGAACGGGATGGTAACCTTTTATTGGATACTTAAACGGATGTCCCCCAAAGTTCAACTCACACCGTTCACCTTGAGAAAGAGAAATGGCAGGATAGTACCCCAATCCAGGCACCATCTTCCGGATCCCGGCAAAAGCCACCCCTAGTGAGATTCCATTACGATAAAACAGTATCACATCACGATCAAGGTCGATGCAACATCCAATCACATCGCCTACAACCCACGACTGGCCATACGGATCGGCATCCTTATTCCACTTACTGACCCTTTTCCCATCATACGCGTAAGAATCATCTGCATCCCCAACACCCTTGTGATCAGTGAAGGGGCAAGCAATAGTAGACCAACCAAGCTGCTGTATACCTGAAGTCTCTAGAGTGACTTCATACATCCACTTTCCTTTCCACACACACGTGTTGGCCCGCACACTACTGAATAAAGCATGACTCTCCACAAGAAGAGGCTTTTTGACGATCCGAATATCGCCACAAATGCTAGACTCTTCGAGACCAACAACCCGAAGTTGTGGATCATTAGATATCGTGGATACTCCATCTCTGTTTGTACTCACAGCAGTTTTAAGTTCGGGATGATGCTTAGAAAAGTCATTCTTAATTATCGAGCGAACCACACCATTGTCAATAGGGCCAGTCAACTGACAGACTGTTTTGTAAGGGAGGTTAAAGATATGTTCAAGCGTTCGCTCCACAGACTGGTCACCAAAACCTTCACAATATGAAACTAAACGGGATTTCCCAGCACCCTCTTTCCTATCCTCATCATTCAGTACAACGGCCAAGCCAGAAGAATGCCCACCAAGCCGTAGAATTTCATCCATTGAAAGCTAAAACAGGGAGGCCCAAGTCAGGCCAAATTATCCACCTTTAAAGAACAGAAAATTTCCAGACAAAATTTTAACAATACCAGCAATCAATTTCCCTTCCTAAATCCGGAAAACGGCATGAACTCATCACCCTATGACAATTAGGGTATCCATCAAGACAATACCTCTTGAGGAAATTGAAGGCTAAAGCTCTTTAATTAGCAAGCCTAAGAGACTGAAAAAACAAAGACAAATATCAGATAATCTAGAAGACAGTGTCACAGCTGAACTATGTCAGACCATTTCAACATTCTGATACAAAAGTAATTTTGAGATAAGCAAAAACATCAATAACCAATCTACTACAGAACTTTTGCCTCAGATTGCGCTACCATAGTATATATTCCACTTTATCTTTAAGCTACTCAATATTTCCTCTTCAGTCTCACAGTAAATAAATGCAACAATTTACTAAATCAGAGACTTCCCCTGAACAAATAGCAGCCGAACTCCACAAAAACCTCCTGAAATCAAAACCAAATTTAAATACATAACACACACCAATAACTCACCGACATATTGCACACACGAAAATAGAACTTCAAAACACCATGGGACGAACCAGTGCGGGCATAAACTGAAAAATAATGGCCTTCACATGAAAGTACGAATCTTTTTTCCTGAAACAGAAAGAGGCGGCGGGTGAATAATAACACTATGGCACTTGCCAGGCACCATTTACTGGTAATAAATCACGAAAAAGGAGGAAGTAAAAGAAGAGATTTCAATTTGAAGAGAGAAAAAGAGCGTTGCAATTGATTTTTGGTTTTTGTGTGTTATTTGTGTGTGTATTTTGGACTTGTTTTTCTGTTCGCAAGAACTTGGGAAATGCTTTTGACTCAGAGAAATCGGTAATTCGGTATACAAAATGAACGAGTCTTTGCGAGTCGGGCCGGTTATCTCTCCTGTTCTTTTTCCTCCGGTTACTTTATGATGAGTAAGCGTATTATACAAGTGACCTCCATTCGCCAGTCTCAACTCTCAACAGTCACTTTGTTAATTTTTTTTTCACATATTTGAAAACTTGATCTTTTTTTTTTTTTTTTAAAGAAAACTTGAT